ATATTTTCCCGTAAACGAGTCGAGGTTGAGCTAAACCTTGTGTTATAAACGCGCTGCTACGGATCGAGAAATTGCCGGAATCGACAAAGCAAGAATACGAAAGCGAGAATCAAAAACACGACACACGATTTACGTGGTTCACTAACACGATGTGTGTTAGCTACGTCCACGGGCGAGAGAGAGCCGATTTCACTATATCGAGGAGATTACAGATTACAGAGGAGTATGAGAAGTATATATAGTACTTCTCCATGTGGGTCTAAACCTAATCCTATCTAGCAAAGGAAACGGTTACAGACCAGGCCCAGAACCCGAACCCAAATAACATTGAGCCCATACACCGTGGGCCGGGGGCGTTGCTCCCGCACCCCACCGGGGCGTTGCCCCTGGACCCCACTCGCTGACCGGGCAGCGAGACCCCCGATTACCAGTCGTAGCGGCTGATAGTCCGATTCAAGTCATATCAACACCTTGTTCAACTCTCGAGGCTTGCGAGCGAATCTGACTAGGTGGCTTGTTAAACTCAACTCGTGAACAGTCTCATTTGAGTGCATGTCTCAACATTCGTGCCTGGTGAGCCAACTCTACTACTGGCTTATGAGCATATTGATGTTCCATATCTCATGAGTTGTCTTTTCGATAGTTCATGAGTTTATTAAATTGTATATCTCACATCATACGATGTTTATGACTTTGATTATGTGAGCAAATTTGTCTCTTTATAATTTAAAAGAAAATGTATGTGTCATAATGGTTTAAATACTAATTACTATGAAATTACATGATATGAGTACCTATTAAAATTTATGAATTAAATAATATGGTATGCACATAGTACATAAATACTGAGGATCGGTTAATATAATGTATTATACATTATACAAAAAAATATTATGGTACTTAATTTGTAAATTATTTAAGAGTTTAACTATTTAGAAAAATTCGTTGACTTTAAGTCCAATTCAAAATCTTAATTATTAGCCAAAATTTTAATAAATGTGTAGGCTCTAAATCATTTATAAACGAGTTGAACTTAAACAAAACAAAGTTCAGCTAGACTCTACTTATTAATAGCCCTATTTCCAACAAGTAGGAGTGTAAACTGACATGGTTATGGTTAACCGCACCATTTACAGCAGTTATGCATACTTGTTTAAGGGTGGATATACTAAACTGCAACAACATCGCAAACAGTTAGGGCGGTTATACATATTAATCGTATAAGAACAGATGGGGTGTCGAGATTGAACCCTAGAAATTAGAATAAATGGGAGCTTTGCCTTTGCCGAATTGGAGCAGCCGAACTAGGAGTAAAAATGTGTTGGGTCGGGCTTATTAGCAGGGGTTGGGTCGGCCATCGAGTGCAATTTTTTTCCCCTTGTGTACGTCTATGCCATAATTGACTGTAAATTTCTTATTGTATATTTGTTTTTTGAATTGTGTTAGAGTGTTATTTCCATATTGGGTTGGGCTTAATTGGTGCAGTTACCTAAATGATTATTAACAATTAATTATGCGAATTTTAACTTCGTAATCATAAGATAGATCTTATAACTAATCGATGTTCATTTAAGAAGTCTCTTATATGGTGTATTATTAATCAGTAACAGTTCGATTGCTATTCGGTTACAGTTAACCTAAATATTGTACCATCCCTACCAACAAGACAATCATATCATGACCAACCCCTCCAATTCTGGAAATAAATAAGTTCCCTCCCATACTTTTGCTTTTTCCGCCACAAAGTCAAAAAGAAAGATGGAACATATATGGCCAATTGTTTCCCACGCCACTCCAAGATACGCAGTGGATTATATGCCATTTTGGGTGTTTCATTCTTTTTTTTTCATAAAAAATCAAATGAAAGAAAAACATATTGGTCAACAAGTCGATGAACTAAAGAAAAGAGGGCTTGTTTTGCCATGATATGAGCAGCTCTATTGTACCTACAAGACGTGAAATGAATTGGAGCACACTGGAGAGATGATCTCAACACCAGAACCTCCTTCAGAATGACACCTCCCAAACGTGAGCTGAATCTTTCGCGTAGACCATCTGGACGATCACTTGCGCATTGCCAAATAAAAGAAAATTAGTTACAAAATGAGACACATATGAGCTCAATCAAGAATGGATCAGAAAACTCCGCATAGAATCGTCCAAAGTAAAACACTATGGAACGATCGGCATCGAATCCCACAAGGCACGCCAAATTTTGAGTCGGATCAGGAGTCACCCCACGGGTAGGCCCACGGACGTGGGCTATTCATTGCCTCTCCTATTTAAGCCGATTTTAAGTCTCTTAGCAAGAGTATACTTCGACCAAACTTAACCTAAAATCTAGGGTTGTTTGGAAGTTGTGATTGTTAAACAGATGTATTGTTGTGAATGCATGTATACTATTATACATGTATTGTTGAATTTGATGCATTGTAAAATACAACGTTTGGTATATGTGATTGTGAATGTCACATCAACTAAAAGTTGAGACAAAACAATCTCAACAATCACAACTAAAAATTGAGATATAACAATCACTCATTTTGAGTGATAGTTTCTGTAACATCATATAAACAATCCATGTATTGTTTCTGCTAAAAAAACAACAACAAAACAATACATGTATAGTAACAAACTCGCCGAAACAATCTCAACTTCCAAACGATCCTAAGTGACTTACAAGTTACAACTACCCCATGTTTATTTATTGGTAAATATATGTTTTTGCTTGTTTCCTTACTAACCTTTTTTATTTCAATTTTTCCCGGACATTACGATAACTCTACAACTCGTTTTTATTTTGTTATCTTTTTTCCAAGTATGCTTAACTAATCAACACAAATAGTGTTGCCGATGAATCAGGGCTTCCACTGAAATGAGAAATAAGCGTGCAAGTTTTCTTCAATTTGTTTAATCAGTTCTGAAGCAATTACTATTATTATTATATAATAAATAGGAGAATCGTAAAATAACAGGAATTTAGGCATGTGTTATCATTAGTAATCATTTATGTACTTCTTATGAATCACTAACAGCCTTATACTGTGGAGGTTGACATGGAAGTGGGAAAGGTGGAAGAGGTAATAACAATAGTAGGGGAAGGAGAAGGAATTCAAAAGACAAGTGATAAGCTACTCAAGTTATGGCTTGTGCCACTATGCATTAGTAGCATTGCAAGCATTGGGTTCTTCTACCCAGTAATTGTGATATTTCGAGACATAGAGAAACTCTGCAACCATCCACTTGTTATTTTCTTTTATGGGGTTGATGGATCAATCTTCCTTGCGCTTCCATTTATCCTAAGCCATTTTGCTGTTGTTTGGGGTGAAAAGGCTCCGGGTTGTGTTTGGGGGCGCTACGGCAGGTCTGCAGACATCGTCTTTTTCATCCTCGTCTCTCTCATCTTCGGGTATTGTAGTTCCGGTCATCGACGTGGTCTGGATCTGTGGATTTTGACCGGATTGATATTATTCAGTATCGAAACTCACACGTTTGTTAAATGTCGGTGGAAGGTTTTGGATTATCATGTACACGATGTAATGGTGACAGTAGCGATGCAAATTTTTGCTTACTACAATGTGGTCATGCTTCTTCATGGAACATCAACCCAAACTTACAATGGATTGGGATTTAGTATTGGAGTGGGTTTCATCACGATGGTGCCCTGCGGAGTCGTTGTTTTTTATACATTCTCTTCCGATCCTGTTTTAGATAAACTTGAGGATTTTAAATATTTCGCTAATTTACGCTTTCGACATTGAATGTCTGCTTGCGTGCACACTTTGTCTATGAAGATCATAAGATTTTTTTATTTATTTCAGTATTCCACTACATAAGTTCTGTTGAGAGCTCTAGTCTTTTGCTTTCTTTCGATAATTATGTTGTAGGAAGTAATTATTTTTTCCCTTTTAACCTAAGTGATAATGGTTATAGTATTGCTGTTAATGAATTAAAGTTTGAGCAGAGCATATAAGAGATAACTTTTTGTGCAAATTTTTTTTAATCTCTCTCACTATCTTGTTCGTTTGAACTCCGAATTCGATTTCATCGATTGCATGACGTTCCCGAGACTTAGATATTCACAACGGTACCAACCTTTGAAATTATTATCTAAGTTGACATCACTAGTATTGTCACTAACTATAAATAACATTTTCGTCGAGCCTCCGATGAACTCCATATATGATTCTGACTCCAAAGGATCGATCCTAGGACATGATATTGGAGACAAGCAAGGTGTTTACACCTAAAAATTGTAGACAAACATGATTTGCTTTCTTTGCTATTATGGATCTTTTTGGGAGCCTTTGCTATTCATGGATACTGCTCGATATTAATGAAAGGAAACAATGCTTAACGAGCTAAGTGGGAAGGCATAAAAAAAATGTACAAAGTGGGAAGGAGTGGCCAACGTAATAAAGTTCGGTAGAATGGAATCATGGGAATCAAGTTGCAAGCCAAAATGTGGGATGTAATTGTTTATATTACAGATTATCTGTTATCGTACGAGATCTTTTCTTTTACTTTATATACTTTTCATTCCATTTTATAATATGTATCTCTTCCAGTATAGTGAAATTGATTATCTTTTTTTTTTTTAGACTAACTAAAACATGTGTTAGTGAATAACGTAAATTTATGGAGCATTTTATACTATTTTTTAAATTATTGGTACTTTAAAATATAACTTGAAGTTGTACCATAACGTTAAAAGTACCAATTGAAGTTGTACAATAAAGGAGTTGTACCAATTGACGTTGTACCATAACATAAAGGTAGAACTTTTAGTTTCTACTATAAGAGATTTTACAAAAAAATATAGGTATAACTCGAAATTGTACCATAACGTTAAAGTTACAACTTCAATTTGTACCATAAAAACAAAAACTAAATCAGTCTTCAAATCTGTGTACGTGTTAATTGAATTTTATTATCAGTTGTTATTGTTTTAAGTTTACTAATTGATAATATTGGCAAAAAAAAAAAAATACATTTTTCGTCTCGTATTTAGATTCGTTATCTTATAGAAAAATCATCCAACAGCATCATAATGTCAAAAAAATTGATTTGCTATTACATTATAAGTTTATAACATTCTGCCAACCCATAAATAATCTGTAAAATATCATAAACAAAAACATGTAACGCCACTTGAAAGCACTCGACGACTCCTCTGTTCTGCACTATCATCTTGTTGCTCACAAATTTGTTTCATCTACAATCCACCTATTCGTCCCCCGCTTTCTCCAGAGCAATTCCGACATTCCTCATAGAAGGTCTCTTGTCAGGATTCCCTCCAACACAGGCCAAACCAATCTTCATCACAGCAGCCATCTGCAATTCTTTACCCGAATCATGCGCCAAGAAGGGATCCACAATATCACCAATCGGCTTACTAACATCAATGCTGAGCTGAACCCATTTCGCCAAATCCATCTCAGAAGCGTTCAGAATCGCCGCGGGAGACTTCCCGGTGACGATCTCGAGGAGGATCATCCCGTACGAGTAGACATCCCACTTCTGCGATGGCTTCGACGACGACGAAGCTGATGATCGCGAAGCCATCTCGGGAGCTTCGTAGTAGAACGACGCGTTGTTCGTCTTAGCGTTGGTGGGTGTCAATGGATATGGGGAGCACTGAGAAGGCGTCCTGCTGCTCTCCGTGTGAGCCAGAGGAGGTTCAAAGGATGATGATTCTTCGGCTGTTGTTGGATTGCAGGCGAGACGGTTGAGGCCGAAATCGGCGATTCGAGGATCCATGTCGCTTGCTAGGAGTATGCTGGTGGGCTTCAGATGGCCATGGACGTACCTCTTGGGGCTGCATTCGTGGATGAATGTCAAGCCTCTGGCCAGGCCTTTGAGAATTCGGAGACGGGTAGACCATGGCATTGGCTTGAAGTTTGTCACTCCGTTCCTCCCTGATGACCAAAAATCCACACATCAGAATGTCACATGACTCTGCCTTTCTAAAGCAGGGGAAAAAATCCCAAAATACAAGGGTTGGAAAAGGAAATTTCTCATAAAAATACTGGAGTTTGAAACAGTTCGCTGGAGTGTCTCTCGAACGGGGTGGTGGTTTCGCTGGAGTAAGAAGCAAACATACGTGGATGGCGACTAAAGGAGGCGAACAGCTCGAAATTCTGGTGATCGCTGTCGCTGGACATACCAGCGAACAATACAGAACACTTATAGGGAGAGTCAGCGGCGGATCCAGAACACAGTAGAGCACTAGGCCGCATTTCAATATAATATTATATACCGTAAACAAAAATAGTCAATATTTTTAAATTTTAGTATTCCAAATAAAAAAATAGTTACAAGATTACCAACGATAACAGACAAATGACTAATATTTAGCTAATATTTTGTATTTCGAAAGGTTTGGCTAATAATTTGGAAAGTCTAAAAGGTTTAACTAATAAATTGTATTTACTCAAAATTAGTTTTCACATATTTCATTGCTTAAAATGTTCTCTCTCCATGGTAGCCGCTGAAACGGGCAAGGTTAACACTAGACGAATCAACCCACAAATCAATTTGTTTAGAGGGTTTTCTTATTTCAATAAAACTTTATACATTTTTTTACATTTTAGACTTTTAGATTTTATTGTTTTTTTTTTCAAATGAAAATCATTCGGGCTAGAATTCCTAAACTAAATTGAGAGTAATGATTTGCATATGTTCATCTATACCATTTTTCTAACTACACAAAATTATTATCAAATAACACTCAACCGGCCATTAAATAATACTGGGTCGAATACCTAAATGGAAAAATTTATAAGTTCTATACTAGTTCTGGATCGGGCGGAGGGCTGGGCCGGGGCCCGGGTTGGCCCAGCCCTAGATCCGCCGATGGGGAGAGTGATCTGCTCTCCAAAAATTGCTGGAAACCCCTCCTCCGATTGCGAACTAGACCTAACCTAAGGTCGAAATTTCAAATGGACGTAACGTTGTGCTCGGTTATGATCGGTGAAAGTTTTGACCTGGGTCAAAAGTAGATTGTGAGGGTCATCAGCGATGTGGTGTGGCTTCGCTAGGGTGTGCCGCGATCCACGTTGGTTCTGAGGATGGTTCGCTTATCTCCGCTGCAATCCAAGCCTTCTGATTGTGGATCGCTCCAATGTAAAGCGAACCACTACCTAGTTTACTTGACAGTACAGAAAACTGCTCCAAACTCTAGCATTTTTGGAAAATGTTTTGCAAACTATGGTATTGTGAGAATTTTTTTTCTCAAATGAAAATGAAGAGGGGAAGGTACAACAGAGCATTACCGTGAATTGCAGTAGCCAAGTTCCCATTGGGGACATACTCATAGATGAGCAGCTTCTCACTAACACACCAGCAGCAAGCCAGAAGCCTCACAATGTTCGGGTGCCTAATCTTCCCGATCGCTTCCACTTCCCCCTGAAACTCCCTAAACCTCTGCCCGCCGCCTCCGTCTTCCAGCCGCCTCACCGCCAGGCTCGCCCCGTTCTCAATCACAACTTTGTACATGATCCCCGCCCCGCCGTTCCCCAGCAGAAACGCCGACGCTTTCAGCAGCTGCTCCAGATCGAACCCCGGATCTGCCTCCACCTTCAAGAACGCGTACTGCTCCACATTCTCCGACGCCAGCGACTCCACGTCATCCCTCCTACTGAAACAGAGCATCTCTTTCCCCGCCGCTCCCGATCTCCCGCCGGCGGTCTCCACCACGACGTCGTTCCGCTTCCCGTGTTGAGCTCTCCTCCTATATTAGCATAATTAGTAAAATACAGTACGAGTAAGTTAGGTATTCTATACGTAAATGATACTTTTAATAGTACATTAATAATATGAAAATTTTAAATAGATAAAATATGTATGACTCGTGTATTAAATAAAGTATTTATTAAATATTTGTACCAGTACGCAAATGACAGAGCGACCACGCCGATCGCTAAAACTGTCCCGGATACAATCGCGACCGCTAGCAGAGCCGGACTCAGGCGCCTCTCGCCGGTGCCGGGCTCCAATAACGGATCGTCCGCCATGGGCTTGGGCTTTTCCGGGAGAGACAGGCAGAGGGCTTTCGTGGGCGGCCCGCAGAGGAGTGGGTTGCCGAGGAAAGCTGTGGGCCCAGCATCGAGCAGGGTCCGAGACTGGGGAATTGGGCCGCTCAGATTGTTGTGGCTGAGATCGATGTAGACCGTCTCCGGGAGAGCGCCGAGGCTCGACGGGATTGCGCCGGTGAAGAGATTGCGAGACAGATCGAGAGCTCCATGCAGATTCGACAGGTTTCCGATGTCGCCGGGGATGCGTCCGGTGAAAGCGTTGGACGATAGATTGAGGCTCTGGAGGGTGATTAAATTGGGCCCGATTCCGTCGGGGAGGGAGCCGGAGAAGAGATTGGAGCCGAGGACGAGCTGTTTCAGTCTCTTGCAGTTGAGAATTGATGGAGGGAGGGGGCCGTTGAAGGAATTTTGAGAGAGGTCGAGGGTTTGGAGGCGGTCGGCGTTTCCGATTTCGGACGGAATTGGGCCGGAAATTGAGTTTTCGGAGAGGACCAGGGTTTTGAGCGCGGGTGATCGGAGGAGCTCCGGCGGGAGGGTTCCGGTGAGGTTGTTGCTGCGGAGATTGACGTGGCGGAGTTGGGTTAGGTTTGTGGAGTCGAGGTGGAAGGATCCGGCGAGTTGTTTGTAAGGAAGGGTGAGTGAGATGACTCGGCCGAGTTGGTTGCAGCCGATTCCTTCCCAGGAGCAAGGATTTGTGTCTGAGGGATTCCAATTTTGCAATTGGGTAGTGCTGGGTTTTTGTTGCAGGGACTGTTTGAAGGAGAGGAGGGTGAGGCCTTCATCGTTGAGGGAGTATGAAGGAAGGGGAAGAAGGAGAAGAAATGAAGTGAAACAGAGTTGGAGGAGTGACATTGGCGACTAATGGCAGAGGAGATCAGAGAATGAAGAGACCCTTTTTCGGTGGAGGAAAACAGGGGAAAGGGAGAGAGAGAGAGATGAAGGTCCTCTGCCGGTGGAGGAAAACAGGGGAAAGGGAGACCTGGTAGTTTTAGTTCATTGGGAAAGAAGATGATCATGACTGGTGATAACGGGGTCAATGCAAAGTGAAAAAAGGGTAGATATTTATGAATTGTAGACTGGGTGTTGAAAAGTGCAGCGTGAAAACTAAAATAAGTGTACGTGTTATGTTAAAATTCCAGTTGGTAAGTTGGTACTGTCACTTTTGGTGAAATCCGATAAAATTAAAACGATATAGATACTGATTAATATTTGATACTATATAATATACAACGTAAAATGAAAGTATATCGTGATGATATGATTTTATGATAGTATAGAATGGTTGTATATATAATAGTATAAATATATTAATGGTTCTTTTACAGTTTTTTATTACCGCCTACCAACAGATAGATACAGCCCTATACAAGGATGATATAGGATAGTATATTTTATTCTAAAAATATGTAATTTAAATAGATTACCAATAACTCGTTCTATTTGGATAATTTTGTTTTCAATATTTGAGCTCAAAACAGAGGTTCTAATAGGGCGATTTGAATTTTTTTTCCTCGAAATGTGTTAAAATTTGATATTATTTTGCAGAATTCATTTTATCTATGCAAAAAAATTATAAGCTCCAGGTTAAATAAAGAAGATAAAAATTAATTTAAAAGTACAAAAAATTAAAAAAAAAATTAATCACACCCCTTAAATCTGGCTTCTCTTAAACCAAATCTGGTTATGCTTAGGAGCATTTCATGCAAGTGCTATTCGCATAAACTGCAATCGAAATCACTTGTCCTTGAAGCAAGAAATGGAGGAGTAATAATATCGCTGTCCTTAATCATCATCTTACTGTAGTTAATGTTTGCATGCCAATTCCTTTTGCTCTGAGTGAGATTATGATAACACTCCAATTGTATATTCCCCATCAAAAGAACCACGCCTGCTAATAATAATAATCAATGTTTTCAAAACTAGAGCGAAGCGAAAAAGTTAGTGGTTGATAGTTCAATGGTTAATCGTTATAGAATTGTTGGTTAACCGTAGATGAAATTATTTATGCGCTATAACATAAAAGACATATATAATACATTAATTTAGGAGGTAATATATCACTAACCATAAAAAATTAAAATTTGTATCATCTATCACCATAAAAGTTATAACAAAGCATTCAGACTATCTCACAAAAGATATCATAATGTTTTTATTAAATACAATTCACTGATCAAGGTGGCAAACCATAATGAACCAGATAAATCCGACATGGAGGCTGAAAAATGGAAAAAAAGGAAGTATAAAACATTAGTGATTGAGGTGGGATGGTTTTAGTTTATGTTAAAGGTGTTTTCTTTAATTTTCTATGGTTAACATAGTGGACCAGTTAAATCGGGGAGGTTCATCTAGATTCATATCAAACCATTAAAAACTGTTTGGTCCATCTTTATCCGTACAATTAAATGAACAGACTTATTATTGTACTTCTTAAGAACTAGTTGGTCTCAATAACTCAAGTTGTTGGAAGACGTTCAATCGTGAATCGTATATCATCTACCCCCCCCCCCCCAAACTCAAGTCATCAGATAGGTTTAGAGTTTGGACAGACACAGGTCCGAACACCGTGTGCTTAGCATAAACAAAAACAGATGGAGGTCATCGAAATTCGAACTCGATACTTGGAAGTTAGTGGCTCTCGAATCCAATTTAATTTGGGTCAGCAACGTGTCCAACGGGGAGAAAAGAATCTCCAAAACCACTGGGTTTTCTATACGGAATACCAAACAATTTAGGGGGAGTCAAACTGGCTGCCCTTTTGTTTTTTGCACTAGAATTAACGCCATCAATCACGCTAACAAGTCGCCTACTCAGTTTGAACTTCGAAGCCACACAGTCTGTCACAACTTTGTCAAACTCCCTTGTCCGCTGTTTTTTTGTCCAAGAGATTGAGCCTTCTAAATTTTGACCAATATGTTAGAATGGACTAACAGTTCGCAACTTCGTAGTCAGTATTTTTCGTCGGTGGCCTTCCTCCTTCAACTTTGAAATATTAGATGGATGTATTTTAACGCGACTTGAATGTTAAGGCCACGAGACAAGGTAGTTCGTAATAATTGATATTGGAGTAAAGGCGGTCATGAGAGTGTGTCGGGAGGCCCTCCGGTAAAGGAATAAGGGGCTGTCACTTAGGTTCATTAGTTTTTTTATATATAGTTCATTAGTTAATTAGATCTTATATTGTATAGTGTATTGGTATTGATTAATTTATTATGATTTTAGTAGTGGATTTAATTATATTAATTAATATCAGTATTTGTTATTGGTCCATATTCTCATGTATATATATACACGAGGCATGTATAATGATTGTTATTGTAGTGTCACTGAGTCGCAAGTCCTATTTGTTTAAAAATGACAAAAAAATCTTAATAAATTAGTTATGGCAGCGATTGAAAATGATCGTTGAGACTACAAAAATTAGAGAGCTAAAATGAGTTTTTTCCAACACTAAATGAGCAAGGGTATCCTGGTCAATTAATGTAGTTTTCTATTTTCTTCAAATTTTCAGTTTAAGTTATCCAAAAAAAAATCCATTTTAAAAACCAACAGTAGGGTTAAAGACACATTTGGTCACTGAGATTACAAAATCGGGACATGTTTAATCACTAGAAAAAGTTAATATCAAATTTGGTCACTACAATTACTAAAACTGGACACATTTAGTCACTCGCCGTTAGTCTCCGTCCAACTCCGTTAATGAAGTCCGTTAAGTGCTGATGTGGCAAACAGAATTGCCTAATCAGCCGGATATAACCCAACAAAAATAAAACCCGACCCGCCACGTCATTAAAAACAACCCAACCCATGACCCAACCCCACCCAACCCTTCTTCCTCCGTCCTCCCACCTCGGCACCTCCTTCTTTCCCCAAAACCATCCCTCACCAAATCTGTTCGTCTAATAGTTGTGCTTTGAGTGAGTGACATAAGCCCCAGCTGCCCTGCCTTGGTGTGTACTTCTGCAAGTAAATAAAAAGATTTGTGGGGCAAAAAAGATGACAGTTTAATCTTCATATAACTCACTGCTTCAATTTTTTTTGTTATTTTTAGTTCCCCAGCCCTGAATCCTGGTCCGCTAGGTTGCCGGCATCAAAAGATTACTCTTAATTGTCGGAGGCCCTAATCCTGAAAATCATCGGGGAGCACTTTGACACCGTTACCCAACTCATCGCCTTCTCCGCCGTTTGCAAGCTATGGAGAACCCTAGCTCTCGAATTCAGCCGCAACCGCCCTACCACTCCTCGTCCGCTCCAACCTTGTCTCCCAGGACTCTTCGTCTCTCAAGCAGTAGCATCATCCAAATGGCAGAGCGGCGACACTCGCAAATGCGGCCCGACCCATGACTTCTTCCCCTTCACCACCATCTTCAAATCTCACCACCTCGATTCCTCCGCGTCGCCGCCGCCGCCACCCAAATTCAGACGCAATCCCATCAATCTCCGCAACTTCTTGTTCTTACCCCTGCCCTCCGATAGAATCCTTCGGCGATTGACCCTGCCTCACTTCAGGGGAAATTACTATGGGAAAGGGGGTTTTTTGGTTTTCTGGGTGGGTTGGGATTTGGGGGAAGAAATGTATAAGAGGAGACGAACAAATTTGGTGAGGGATGGTGAAGGATTGGCCTGCTGGGTTAGGTCGAACAGGTTTGCGGGAGGAGGTGGGAGGAAGGAGGAGAGCGGCGGCGGCGGTGGTTTTGAGGAAAGAAGGAGGTGCCGAGGTGGGAGGAAGGAGGAAGGAGGGTTGGGTCATGGGTTGGGTTGGTTTTAATGACGTGGCGGGTTGGGTTTTATTTTTGTTGGGTTATATCCGGCTGATTAGGCAATTCTGTTTGCCACATCAGCACTTAACGGACTTCATTAACGGAGTTGGACGGAGACTAACGGCGAGTGACTAAATGTGTCCAGTTTTAGTAATGGTAGTGACCAAATTTGATATTAACTTTTTCTAGTGACTAAACATGTCCCGATTTTGTAATCTCAGTGACCAAATGTGTCTTTAACCCACCAACAGTAACATCGCCAACCCAAACCCTTGTTTATTAATGGTTCTTATTTGTATTACCACCATAACAACACTTTGGCAATTGAGACTCGTCACAATAAGCGGCATTCGCGAATGGCAATTGGAAACCCACCGACGATAAAGAAACTGGCCGAATATCATAACAGTTGTTCAGCATCTACATACAAAGAAACTGGCCGGCGATTAAGTATCCACAGTAAATGAGCACGATTGCCACAATCTCTCACTTACAGAACCAGAAGATGGGAAGGATTCCGTCACTGAGCCGGCCAGGCAGATTATTCCTAGGTGAGCTGCTCCAAGGGAAAACTCGTCATCTGAATCATGCTAGGGCACGTTCGATCTCCTCCAGCGATCTTCCTTTCGTCTCCACGACGTTGTTAAGTATGTACACAACGGCAAGAAGACAGACGCCCGAAAACCCTAGATACACCATGCTGATCCCATACTTGTTCACCACGCTCAAGAAATAGAGGCCAATGACAAAGTTCGCGACCTGTCACGCGATAGAGAATCAGAACACACTTGGAAGTAACAACATGAATCTCCATTTCGGTTTTGGTCCACAAGCTCAGTTCAGGATGAACTAATTTTTAGGTTAACTGATTCTCTAACACATTATCGTTATGTCCGGTGATCAACACTGTTTACTTGAAACCTAATATATATACTTAACCAGTTCAAATTATGTGTAGGGGGGAAACCACAAGATTGACTTACCCAGTGCATGCCCAAAGATAGTGCAACTGCTTTGGCTCTAATTCTGGAGGCAAATATCTCAGGGAGTAGAAGAGCAGGTACTGGACCAGCCCCAAGTGAAAAAGAGAGGACATAGCTGCGTATCATTGGAGACAAAAAAAAAACCACAGTTACCGGAATTAGCATCAGAGAAGCACAGTCG